GCAACCATGCTCGGTGGGTCTTCTTCTTCGCTGCTTTTGGTGTATTTTGTGGCGGAAGTACAGCACCACTTACAGGCCCGGCATATGTACTACAGCGTCTCCAGCGGTTTCGTGTGGACGGACACGTTTCTTGAGCCAATACCGTGTGGACGGAAGAGTTTTTTGATATCGAATTTGCTTCGTTCTCCGTTTCGTTTCCGTGTAAACGGAGTCTAAATTTAAGCCAGAATGTTTTTCTAAAGAGTTTCTTCTGAGATTACACATTTATCTTTTGTACTACTGAATTACACACACACACACACACACACACACACACACACACACACACACACACACACACACACACACACACACACACACAGAGAGAGAGAGAACACACACACACACACACACACACACACACACACACACACACACACACACACACACACACACACACACACACACACACACACACACACACAGGAGAACAGCTGAGCAGGCAGATGTCCAGACAGCTGTGGATACAAAAACAGTTTGACAATTCTCTCTTTTAGACCAAGCCAGCTTTGAGACTCGTGATGAAAGTGATAATTAGGACAAATATTAATATGTCTCTCTTTTGGCTTCAGGTTACCCTTCCTATTTATGTGCTTCAATAGAAACCAAATTGATGTAAAATCCTTCATAGTTCCCGCCAATAAACAAGTGCTCCTTAATCTAGACTTTCTGAAATGCATATCGTTTCAAATGGCAGGAAAGTGGGTCATCTCCCCAACTACCGGGCTTACCTTTGAGTGAGCAAATTTGCCATTTTCAATTATTAAAGCAGCACCTGTCTCCTTTCACATTTCAACAGCTCAGATCACTGCGGGAACAGCCCTGCAGAGACAAAATCCACCGTCTGCAGATTTTAAAGTAACAGCCATCGAAAATAAAAGGAGAGGCTGGTGTAATACCGGATTCAAGAGTGACGGAAGAAAGACCTCACCCTCTGGGGTATCTACTCAGTTCTATCCATGCCTTACTAAAGCCTCATTGAGTAATTGGCTTTCTCTTGGCATTGAGTTGTCCAATCTAAATGGTAATTTTGAAGGCCCTTCTCCCGTCACTGGTGGTAATGCTTGTTTACTGGAAGACAGTTACTCTATACAAAATTAGAGTTGTAATGAGAAGGCAGGGGTCTGTCCGACTGTCATGACACAATACATGTCAAAGCTGAGAGTCTGGTGTCGAGTACTTTGTATGATAAACTACATACTGCTTGAAACATGCAGTGGTGATTCTATAAAAACAAAATATGGTTTATGTTGAAAAATCGACTTGTTTGTCTTTTTTATTTAGTTTGTCAGAAAAGCAGAGGGCCACTACTTGTTAACCTGAGTGTAAAGGTGTCCTAATTGTGTCCCACATTCAAAACAAATGCGAGGTAAGAGTATCGGAGGCTCTAAGCGACCGTAGATATACATTTTCATTCTCTGATGATGGATTTCACCTGTA